GCATATCATTCTGAAGCACATCAATCAGAAATAGTGTTGATATATGTATATTCTCACTAAACCACACATGTATAAAATATAGAGATTAAGTATTAAATTCTATAAAGCAAAAAAATAAACTCAAGTTGTATAAAATATTTTTTTTTATATCATGAATTTCTGAACTTTTTTAAAGTTGCAAAATTAAAACCAAGTTTCAAAACATTTTAAAATAAAATACACAAAATATTTACAATAAATTTGTCAAAATTTCTTACATCAAGGAAATGTTAGATACTAAAATGTCACACAAAATTAATTTTCTCAAAAATTAATTTAAAGTTTTCCGCGAATAGTTTTGCACGCATGGAATAGCTGAAGCTTAATACGAACTTTCTTAAGCCAACCGCAAACAAATGTGACAATTCTAAGAAGTCGCAAATATAGATATTTGTTTGATATATGATTTGTCATCTAAGCAGCATCTTGGGTGTTTTTCATTAAAAGCCACAAAAACCCGCTAAAGTAAGAAGACAGCACATGAAATTAAATTGTTCTGCACTCAAATAAGAGCAACACTGACGCATATTTACTTCGCAGATGTCGTAAAGCCGTTGAAGTTTCATAAAAAAACAAAAAACATTTTAATAAAAAGAAAAACATCAATTTATAAAGATTTGGTTTTAAATTAAATTTGTTTTTTGTTCTTCCCCCATCAGGCAAGATTATAAGACTCCTAGGAAATATTTCTAAAGATCTTGCTGCTTAGCAGCCAGCCATTTTTTTGCATCTCAACTTTGTTTTCACATAAACAAAATGTTACTAAGGTACATATAAATAATCAGGCAGCAAAATAAATACAAGGATGAGTATATATATATTTGTATATTATGAAGGGAACATTGTTATCTTTTTCTTAGACATTTTGAATAATAAAAATAAACTAGTTGTTTTCAATTATTAAAGTCTATTATGATGAAATAAAATATATGCAATAAATATTGTTTATTCTAAAAGATTATTAAAAGACGAGAAAGTTTTAACAATTAAAATTATAATAGTTGATTGTAATTTCAATAAACCATGGTTTATACGGTCACTTTAATTGAAAAGCACGACAAGTACTTTGGTTATTATCTTTTGAGAAATAAAAAAAGATACAAAAAACTTTATATATGAACAACCAAAGTTTCATGCAACTTTAGCTTGTTTCGTTAAAACACACAAAGTCATTGTTTTTGGTTTAACAGATTGAACAAATATTATATATATAAAATCAACGCATATTTCTAAAGACAATTCCAAAAACTCAATCAATTAAAAATAATTCTCTTCTATATTACTACTAAATTGTTGAGGCTAGTTGAGTTAGTGCACTTGAGAACTTTTAATCTCTATTAACTGCGAGGTTTCTTCATAACACCTCTCTACTTCTTGACTGGATTGTTGTTTATCGCTTCATCAGAGTAAGCAATAATTGACCTCAGATCTGCATACGTCCCCGAGGACGCTGTAACCATTCTGCATTTCGATAACGTGGTAATTTCAGGGAACTATCCTTTATGTATTAGAATGTCATTTGTCCTAATGTACCATAGTACCCTTAAAAATCTCTAACTTTGTGCAATTTCTAGCTGGCGAATAGTAGTGTTTGAAACATTGCTAAGCGCTACACATCCATATAGAAGTGACGGTCGAATTATACGGTTTTTTTTTAGCATTGAGATTTTCATTTTTGAATAGCGATTGAAGGTGAAGAAGAATTTTGGCACAGCTAATTCTTTTCAGTTGAACATGTTTAAGCCATGCGAATCGCTTCGCCACCATGATACCTAGATATTTAATGCTATCCGCCCAGTTTATAACCATATCTCCCACCATCACTCTCGACGGGTTCTCTCTCCAATGAGAGTCTCCACTGTCTCATTATTGATTTTTATTTTCCATTTTTGGAAATACTCCAGGATGAGGTTTATATACTCTTGAAGTATGTTAGTTATATTGAGAGTATATTTATCCGAGTATAGCATACACGTATCGGCAGCATATAACACCAGAATCGAGGGACCTAACATTGGGATATCAGATGTATAAATATTGTAGAGAGTTGGGGAAATGGCGATCTCTGAAATTTCATTAAATATATATAATAATATCATTTAAAATGAATAAGTGTATTGATAATGTGCTGAGAGAATTTTATTAGTGTGAATAAAATTTTTATTCTATGTTAATAACTTAAAAAATACAACTCGGCTTTAAATTTATTAAAAGCACATACACATAAAATATCAAATATATGGAATAAGTTGAAACAGTACATATACTATTATAAAATTATTTCCCACATATAAAAATTTCAAATTTATTAAATAAGTGGAAAAAGTGCAGATACTATTACGAAATTATTTATCAGTTGAAGAATTTTGATTTAAAAGGAAAAAAATTTAAAAAGCAGTTTCCAACACCAATTTTAAAAATAATTAAAATATAAGAGAAAAAATTTTATTAATAAATTAATACTCAGAGAGAACATCAAACATATTTAATTTTAATTATTAAAAAAATTAATAAGTGAAAAAAAGTATATATTTCTGTAATTTTGCATTTAACGTTAAATATTAAGCTTTATGTTTCCATTATCTTTTATTATATATTATATATACAGCATATGTAGTATAATCATAGAGTATTTCATGTTTCAACATTTGTTAAATATTTTTCATTTTAATTTTTTATTAAATCAGTAGTTGTGTACATCGGTGCGTATGAGTAACTTTTAACTTAATCCGAACTTATGCTGCTGAATGTATGATATGAATGTAGTATTTGTGAAAAAGGGCAGTAATGTGTTTGTTTATTCACTGTGACATACGATGACATTTTTAATATACTTTTAAGGGATTGTGTTTTACCTACCTTTTACTACATTTCCACCATTGAAAAGTAATATTTTTTATTCAAAACTTATTTACGAAAAGTAGACGATAAGCAGCTTTAACTGAGGATAAGGTTTGTAGTCAGTATTTAACTTTTCATTATTGGCTTTACACTTATGATGTTGTTTTTTATTAAGCTGTTCAATATAAGTACTGTAATAATCTGCTCCTATTGTGTTATAGGTATCTAGCCATTATTGTCGGAACAATGCTTCTTTTATGTCTCTTATGTTTAACTGAAAATATTTCAGATCGAATTATAAATATTATGTATTTTTTTCACACAAAATCCTGAAAAAAACTTTTTAAACTGAAAGTAATTTTAATTTATTTTTTAATCCCCTCATGATTTATTACTTCAACTGCGTTTTTAGATATAAATGGGATGAAAAGTTTCAAATTTCAATTTCAATAAGTTTTTATTAATGTGTTTCAAATTTATTTAATAATTTTATTAATGTTTCTACTAATGAAATCATATACGCGCTATTAGGTAAGAAATTTATTTTGATATAATTTTCCAATAAAAGCTTTAACTAAATACCTCTCTTTAAGTTTAATGAAGTGTGTGAAAATATGATTTTATCCAATATACGTGTACGTTTTTTTATTAAGAAAAACATTTGGTCCTTTCAAAGTGCCAGTACACTGTTGCTCCATCTATTGCACTGTCATAAAAATGGCCATTAAACCTTAAACTAATTGACATTTTAAAAGCTTATGTAGTGAAGTTTTTATGGTTTATTAAATTTTATATGCTTAACTAATAGCGAAAATTTTAATAGCAAAAGTCGTTAAATTTTATTTATTTTCATGGATTTTTTCATTTTTTTTCTCTCTTACGTACACAGGAGCTAAATATATTTCTGATTAAGTGTATGGAATAAAGGAATATCTGTCACCGATCTCTATGATTAGCACACAAAAAGAATATAATAAAATTAACTATTAATTATAAATAAGTTGACAAAGTTTTATGTATGTAAAAACATCAATATTATTTTTATCACCTTTTATGCCATGAATATGCAAATGAAATATTTTTGAAAAAATGTTTATAAAAACAAACAAATATAAAAGGAGTACTCAACTAAGCATATAAATTTATCACATGTATAATTTTATGCGTTTATACTATGTTCAGACAGCTAAATTTCCTTAATTTCATAAAAATTAAATTAAGTTAATTTCGAAGTTAATTATTAATTAATTGAGTAGAACATATGTTTTCTTGTTTACAAATCAAATGTTAAAAATGACATGCTGCAAACACCCTTTGTATCTGGAATTTTTAAAATTTCCTTAATTTTGTCCTATGCTCAAAACTGAATTTTGTATGGAAAAAACTGCTTAATTTCGCTGAAATCAAGATTTTTGCGAAATTAAATTGTGTCTGAACATAGTATTACATACACAGCTATATGAACGCACTGAGTATACATATATCAATCTGCTGTATAATAGCACTATATATATTCACAATAATTATGACAGTACAAAATGCAATGCTAAGCAACACAATTTTTTAGCCAATATCGTTGTAATTTTATATATTTGTGCAAACTTTATCAGCTGTGACACTATCAATAAATTATAAAATAAAATATCTAAGTTGAGCGAAAATTCCAAATTAAAAAATATTTACAAAAATATTTTTGTAAATGTCTTGTTTATACTGAAAAGCAACTCTATATTAATAATACATAAATTTATACGAATTAAATTTATTCGGTGAAATTTTCGTGTAAATTTATGAAGTTTGTATAAATTTATACGTTTATAAGGTTTATAAGGCATTTATCAGTTTAGATGAGCACTCCTAATATTTAATCACTTTTTTATAATATCAGATAAAAGCATTTAGAGTATCATAACCTCGAGTGTACTATGTTAAGTATTGACATACAACATCAGGTATCAGGTATTCGATAAATCGCTTTCCAACACTGTGATAAATTTACTTTTCAAAAAGTGGATATGTTAAAAATTAAGTTAGCCATGAAATTGTGATAATCTATTTCAATAAGTTTATTTTTTATTTTTCTGATAAAAATTTTTGTTCAGTATTTATTTATTGTAAATAAGAAATCATTCAAAGTTTCACGAGGATGTATGTAAGTATTAAGTATTTTTTTAGACTTTTTAAATATCTATTTATTTTTTTCAAATAAATGAATCTGTAAACTTTCATTAGCACTTGAAACAAGTGAACAACTTCTTGTTCCTTTAGAAAAAATTTTTGGAAAAAACCCATTTTTACATCACTGCATCACAAGTGGCTAAATAATTAAAGAGAAAAGAGTAAGTAGAGATTTCTATAAACCCCACACTTTAGCCTAGTTAAAGCCTAGTGTGGGGTAGTGATAAACCCCCCAGCCATTATAGAGTAAAAGTGCGTAATAGCACTAACTCAAGAACAAGAAGAAGAAGAAGAATGTGGCAAATTGACAATTTAAATCAAATATTAAGATTTTGATTTAATCACATAAGCTTCGAAAATAAAATTCTTTTAGTTTTAAAATTTTATAAAAGTCAATGTTATAAATTTTCTTTGTTTTACTATCATATGTGTATATTTTTTGTGACATATACGTATTATTTTTTTACGCTCATTTATGAATTAGAAAAAAGAAATCATAAAGTTTAAATATATTCGTAGAATAAAATTACTGGGAAACATCTGTACTAATTTTGTTATTCAAGACTAATTTTTAGTGAATATTTATTGGCCGAAGAAAATTCCTTTTCTCCTTGCTTAATCCAACCAGAGCAAAAACCATAGTAAGTATATTACAAATAATCAATAAAAAGACTGAACATATTTTATTTTAATTTTTACAAGAAACATGACGCCGAGAAAAACTTCTCTAATCTGAACTTATATATTATTTTGATGTTATATCAAGTAATTGCAGCAGTTTGCATTTTATATACGAATTGCCGTCGCCAGTTTTCACAGATCACTTTATTCTTATTCTACTGCATTAAGAACTCTAGGCAACACCTCCCCACAACTTTATATTTAGATTTACGAAACATTAGATCCACCCAATTCCATTCACTGATTTACAAAAGTACGGGTTGTTTGAATTTCTAGTATATGCTTCGATGTAATCGTTGTTTGGTGCTATAAAAGCGCTTATTGCTTTTTTAATTCACTATAAAATATTTTCCTTTAACCTAAAAATTTATATTGTCACGTTGTCTGAATAGGAAAACAGAATTCAGAACTTAAATAAATTAATCGAATATTCTAAATGATGTAGTGTGCTTGACGAAGGATCGTAGCACTTTCATCTTCTTTTATATTTCTATCTTTTTAAAAAGGAGTATTTAAAATTATAATTTTGTTTTTAGTACATTATCATATTTATGTACAGTAAAGCGGTTCTTGAATTACTCGAATTACTTTAGCTCTACATAAATTCTCGTTGAATTTAGTCGCTTTCTTTAATATTTAGTCTGTGCTTGACTGGAATAAAAAAGGCAGAAGAATTCATTTTATGGTGGTATTGTTGGTTAAGATTTATAGAGGAGCATTTTTTTTGCGATACCACCTTTAAAAATTTTTAAATCTATTTATAAACACCAAATGTGTGGCGATAACCATTGTAATAGTTACTCTGCAATTATTCATAACGTATTTTTATAGTCTATGCACGATCTACAATATCTAAATTCCATTTTCTCTTTGAGTTCTATACTGGAAACTTCTGTAAGCGGCATATGTTATTAACTTGTCAAACATCTTCAGTAATATTATAACATTATTTAATATATAATATATATATTATATATAAAGTATAATATTACATCAATGCCAGTTACAGATCGTGATATTACCTAATTCTTTATTTGCATAATTATGCTTTCATTAAAATTAGATTAAATAAATTAATATAATTTATTAATTAAATAAATTAAAAATGCCTGTAAAGGCCAACATTTTGTACTAATTACTAGTGATATGTTTTATAGCTTATAAGCTTATAAGGCCTGCTACCGATTCAAACAACGACCATATTATAATGCTTAAGCCATATTAATTACTTAATTTCTCTAGTTTTTTAAGAGTAAAATACGACACGGTAGAAATAACGCATATACTCAAATTTTTCACTTTAAATTGTTAGTTGCAACACCATCTGTTGAAAACAACATTAAAAAATAGAACATTTTCATTAGTAATTCGATTACACGCCCCATTACTAAAATCGTAAATATCACTTTAATAATATCTATATAATAAAATATTCTTTACACACCCCTTATATTATTATAATCACATTAAGTTTCTAGCCTACCGTTCAAAATGGGCTACGATGTACACAGATTCATAGGAGGAGTAGATGAAGAGTTAATATGCCCAATATGTTCTGGTGTTCTAGAGGATCCGATTCAGGTAACAATATAATAACCGTATGTTATATATAAAATTTATATATAATCATTTTATATGTGTTATTAAAATTAAATAGATTGCATCTTGTGAGCATTCTTTTTGTCGTCAATGTATAACACAGTGGATTACACGCCAGTCAACGTGCCCAATTGATCGAAGTACAATTGAAACAACACATATACGTGAAGTACCAAGAATTTTTAAGACCTTATTGTCAAGGTAAGTTTACTCTAAAGCATAACATGTATTACAAAGATATTAGTATTGATTTAATATGTCAAATTAAACAATTCTTCGCAAATGTATCTAACCAGTATCTATAAACTTTAATCAATTTTAGATTGAGATTATCGTGTACAAATGTCGCCGAAGGGTGTACAGTTATCTTGAAACTAGAAGATCTTGGTGCGCATAGAAGCCAATGTGAATATAATCCTAATGTGCTATTGACATGTGAGAAGGGCTGTGGGATGTTTATACCAAAAGATCAAATGAAAGATCACAATTGTATACGTGAGCTATCTAAAGCAAGCAAATCACTTAAACGTAAAATCTTTGATCTTGAAGCAAATCTTCAGTACAGTAAGCAAACAATCCTTGAATTAAAAGCAGACTCGGAATTATTTAAACGTTTTATCCGTACAACGAGCTTTTTAAATCCTGAGGCACGTGCAATTGCTATTCAAATTGATGAAAATGAGGTTGTACGTTGGAGTAGATCATTACACCATGCAGAAGTTGCAAATTGGTTGTCCATTATTTCGACGCCCAATAGGGTTTTAAAGGTTTGTTGTTATAAAAAAGTTTTTCTTTAACGTCTTCAAAAATTTTAAAAATCTATTACAATAATCACATGTCTAATCAATGTACTAATGCTGTTGAATTATTATAGTCGATGATCAAAAATTGTTTGTCTGAAATGAATTGCCCACCGCATATTTTAAACCGCTTGGCAACAAACTGTCACGAACGTCACTGGCCACGTGGAATTTGTACACCGACAATTCGCCGCTTTAATAGACAAATCTTTGACAGATACGTGTGCAAGCAGATACGTGGTATACATACTATATTAGCAGATACGTGGTACAAATATTTGATATTATTTTTCATTTTTCTAACTTTCAGATGGGCCATCTATTTTGATATTAAGTTGTGATAATAACGATATAGAACAAGATTTTATGGTTGAACCCGGATTCATTATGATTTTTGCTGACGATATTAATTAGTAACAAAAATTTATTTATAAATAAATAAATAAATTTTAACAGTATTAATCACATACTGTCAAGTTAAATTATTAATATTTTAGAAAATATTATTAAATCGAACATACTAAGTAAATATATAAAGTAGATTATTATTTGCATATCACACAAATGGATAGCTGAATGGTATTGCATTTAGTAGACACCTGCTTTCGTATAACGTATATATCAACTGCTAAAGTAAGAAAGTCAACATCCATGAGAACCATTACCGTCGAAAATATCAACCTTTCTCAGCCATGTAGTACATTTTTCATGTTCCAATAAGTATTCAGTTTCAGTTCTCGATGTATGTTCATTCAACATTTTCAAAAAGCGACGACTTGCAAATGTGTCAAAAATTATTCTAGCCCAACTTATGTCAGTCATAAAATCATTTATTCTTTAGTTGAGCCCAATCTGTAGTTCTATGCTGCATGACGTCATAAATCTATAAACTAACATTTTAAACGATGTGGTTACAATGCTGCACAATCTTGACACAATTTGGACTCAGTATTTCCATGCCTACGCTTATTCTTTTTTTTCTATTATTTCAAATCCTCATCCGAAATGTTATTCCTATGCAAATCTTTCTCAATCGTACTGTTTTACTCTACCATGGAAACTCAACCAAGTATCAAGTACGAAAGCGAAAAAAACCGGACAAAATCATTCAAAATAATTAAAAAATGTAATATTGTAAGTGCTATGGGACTTCTTAGAGACTAATGTTAAGCAATACTGAATTTATCAATATCAACATCAGATCCAAATAATGGAAAAATGTTTTCATATTGAAAAATAATAATCTGGACAAATTAGTGCGTCTGCCACTGAAGACCTTATAAGACGACACCCATTAAGTTATAAAACGTTCAGTATTTTTAACAAAAAGATCCTGCTCGTGTTGACATCGAAAATGTAACCTGTTACAATCTTATATACTGGTAAGCAACGTCTTTTGGAGCACCGCCATTGTACTTCTTTAGTATTTGTGTGCACCAATCGACATGACTGCATCTTTTTGAAATTTTGTCAAATGATAGGGATACAACGACAACACGAGAACACGAGAACAAACCTTTTCCTCATGACTAAATGATCGTGCAATTTTTATGTACGCTGGTGCAACTAATACCTGAGGGTACCTTAATCTCACAGTATGTCGCATGAAGATATTGCATTACGAGTATCAGTTTTTGCACAACATCAATGTTTTTTTGGCACAACAACTGATTTTGGACGATCTTTACAAATTTCGTCAGTGAACGAACTGCGGCCACGATTAACAGGAATAAAATCATTGTACTAGCCTTCCACGGTAGCAAACGATGGAGCTTCATCGCCAAATGTGAAAGTAAGGTAATCAATGCACTCTTGTTTTGATAATCGAAAGACGAAACTCGAAAGTTGTTCCAATTCCATTTTTTCGCGATGACTCAATTTATAAATCCCCGCAAATACTCGTAATACAAAAAGTCTAAAGTAGATTATGTTTAATAATGTCAAACATTTGTAAGGAAACATTAGATGGCACCTAACAATCAGTGTTGCCAAGGTTTAAAATATAAAGAGTGACCCTCTTAAAGAAACCACAGCAGGTAGGGGAAAAGTATAAAAATGAGTTACTGCGTTAATTAATTCACTGCCAACACACACAAAATATTTATTTACTTATAATTTATTATCTACACTTAAGTATTTCTTAATAAGGGATAGTGCGTCAGTCAATTGACAAATATACCCAAGTCCAAATGCAGAAGATATTTGATGTAAGACCAAAAGAAAAAGGGAATGATTGAAATGAAAAAATAAATTATTCTTAATTTTCTCAATGAATCAAGTCAGTCAGCCAGTGGTAGAGTATGAACATTGCTAATACTCAGTACATCATAACCCAAAAATCTGAAATAAGCTTTTGTAGATGCTGGACAATTACAGATACTTCTACTGTCTCGTAACAAGAATGACATGTTAGACCAGTAGCTACGTGTGGTTCACTTGTGTTATGTCATGTGATTAACCAGATCTGAGCATCATCATATGGAGAACTAAACACTTTACTAAGCAGCATTAATTTTTAATTACTTTTAAAAACAAAATTTATGTATATTTAGATAAACAATTGAAATTGACTAATTCTTATTATTAAAATAAAACAGTTTTAATTTTTTATAAGTTTTTTTTTTAACGAAACATTTATTAATAAAATTTTATTTATATTAACATTTATAAAAAGTACTTTTTGCTTCTATTTGTTTATAGTATAAATATATAATAAAATGAATATCTTTACTTAATATTTCTGTAAAACAATACGATACACAACATTAAATATTTAAGAGAAAAAAATGTTTATTTTAAATCATATTGATTTTAATTCTTACACTGTTAATAAATCTCAAATTTAGTATGTTAAATAATTAAATTCAAAAAATTTTTAAATTTTAATAAATGAAAACTTAATTTACTTCTTGCACTTAATGTTATAATTTTAAATGAATTAATGAACTTTTTATATATTTTAATGTTAAGTGATAAATGAACGAGATTATATTTTTAAGAATTGCACATGATGTCAAGAAAATTATACATTTAAATTAATTGTTAAAAATTCTTAAAAAAATTTATGCTAACTTATTAAAATAATATAAAAAAAAATTTTTTGACCAAGAGAATTAAATAAAAAATTTAATTTAATGTTATATATATATTTTACATGTAAACATGTAAAGTAATTAATATTTTTTAAATTAATTGTTGAATAATATTTTTTTTTAATGTTGTTTTCATAATTTTAGTTCAATATTATTACTTAAAAAAACTTTTTTATATATATTCATTAAGTTATAATTATTATTTTTATATTTAATACAATCAATAGAGTGCACAACTATGTAGTTATTTTATTACATTATAGTTTTTTTACTTACTTTGTAAATATGTATAAATTATAAATTGCTTAGTGTTTATATTTATAACTATATTGTTTATAGAATTTAATAAACAATAGAAGGCACATTTTTATTCAAGTTTCTGTAATAAAATATAAACATATATTTTGAAAAATGTTTATAGCAATCTATTTTAATATGAGTTCATACTCTTTTTAAAGACGAGTATATTTTGATATATTTAAATAAATTGTTTTCAGAAATACATATGTTTTAATTTTAATATTTTGTATTATTATATATATTAAATTTTTAACTTTTATAATAGAAAAACAACGTTACTTATTTTTAGGCTCAAGTATTCAAAGAGACGGTGGAGAGTGTAAATTTCTATATTTAAAAAAAGAAATGATTTTGTACACATGCTAAATGCAATTAATATATACAATGTATATATTAAGTAAAAAATTTACAGAAAAAATTTTATTTCATTATTTTTTAATCTTTTATTAAATTCAAGCAACGTTTTAATTAATTTTAAAGATAAAAGCATGCAACTGAGCAACTGAAATTGAAATTGTATGAAAATTGACAATTTATATTTATTATTTGATTTATTTCCACCAAATAAATCTAATTTCATTATTAAAAGTTTTTCATTTCAAAGTTTTGTTCAAACGATTTCTATTTTAAAAATTATTTCTAATAATATAAGCTATAAAATTTACTAACTTTGCTACAACCAAGACTTTAATGTATTTTATTTACTAAAGTTCACATCATATATTAAATATTATTGTTTATTTATGTTTATATATAGTTATAATTAAAACAAACACTATTTTTGTTATATATATTTGAATTATATTGTTATGTATACAATTTTTATTTCTTTTCATATTATTTTTATTTGTATTATTATAAAAACCTATTTATTAACTTTTTAATTTATTATGCTCCTACTTTTAAAATAAAATTAATAATAAAATTGCAATTTTTTGATTTTAATAATATTTAGAACTAAATATGGCGCATTCTAATTATTTCTTAACTTAGTTTTTAAAAAAAAAAATATATATATAACGTGACTAATGCAGCAGTAAAAATTACATTTTTTGTAAATTATTTAAATAAAAAAAAAACTAGCTCATTCAAAAAGAACACTTTTAATTCCATTTTAAAAAATTAAATTGAAATCTAAAATTAATTTATGCAGTTAAACAATTAAAAACTTTTGAAAAAATGTAAAGAAAATAGAAAAAAAATTTTATTTAATAAAAACTAAAAAAAAAAAAATAAAGTTGCAAATATAATTTTAATTTTAACAAATTTTACTTTTATTTAAAAAATAATTTTAAAAGTGTGAATTTTTTTATTTGAAAACAAATTAGTATCTGGTTTCAAAATAATTTAAAATTAAAAAAAACCAAATGAAATTTTAATTTATTTGTTTATACTACTTTAAACGGATCAAACTTATACAAAAGAAAATCTATAATTTCATTAATTTTTTTTTAGAAAGTATTTGATCTTAACTTATACTTAAACAATTTATTTTATTTTTTGTTTTATGTACTATGTAGCATTTTATATGATTTTATTATACAATAAAACAATAATATGCCTAATGATTTGAGATTCAACATAATATAGATGAAAAATTGTTTTTTTTTTAATATTATATTTAAATTTTGTTCGTGGATTCGATTTATAACAATTTATTCATATATTTTATTATACATAATAAATATAATAATATTTAAATTTTAGCATATGACCGTTAGGATTTTGATTTGTTCATAATGTGTTAGGTATTATTATAATACATGTAAAAAATTATATACATATATGATTTTATGTATTCATTTAGAAAAAATTTATATTTTAACTTAATATTGTTTTTGTTCATCAATAAAAATTAAAAATATGTAATTTTAAATAATTAAGTTCATAATACAGAAAATAATAAAAAATGTTATTGATTATTTACATTTCAAATGTTAATAATATTAATTAATATACACTTATTTTTGCTGTTGTTATTGTAGTTATAATTGTTGTTGCTGTTGTAATTGTAATTGCTGT